TGTACTCGTCATATGCAGACTGAACCTGCGTGTCAGCGTAAGCACCCTCCCCAAGAATCTTCTCTTGGGGTACTTCATGACCGTTCTTTAATTCCTGAATCTCTAAGGCTTTAGCCTCTTGCCTTCATAAAGCTCTCCATTGAATTTGACAAGAATTTTCGAGCACTGCCGAGGCTAATTGGGCCCAATCTTTTGGGGTTACTTTATTTACAGTGGTCCATGAGGTTAGGAGCTCTCTGACATAGGGAGAATGAAGACCATACGAAACAATGGAAAAGATTTCCCTTTACATAATGGTGATCAGGAGTGGGAAGATGAATTTCCACGCAGAATGACAAAAGCTTTAAAGGAATTTTAGAAACAGAAGAACGGAGAGAAGCACAGACCTTTGGTAGCAGCATTTTTCTCAGATGGGCTCTGTTTTGCTATCGACAAGCAGAGACTCGCAGCTTACTCAGCATAAAAAAAAACAGCAAGGTTCTTTTAAGAGGCTCTGCTAACAATTGAAAGGTGTGTACGTACAGCTGGAAGTGGCAGTGACCACATCTCCAAGCCGGCAGCTTTTGCTGGATCTCAGCATAGACTGAGGCTATGAGCTGGAATCACGCTTACGCCAGCCATCTTGGAAAAACTGCAGTTTAAAACAGCCACGGTTTTAACAGATAAGACACGTGGCCAGAAAAACATAAAGATTTACAGTAAAGTCAGACTTGGATGAAGAAACACCTCTAAAGGTTTACAGTGTGTTTAAAAATATACCTAGAATTGAGAGGGAAAAAGAAACGGCATAGTGGTAAATAAATAGAGAAGCCGAATGTGGTGGCACAAACTGGTAGGATTTGCTGCAGAGGCAGAGGCATGCGGATTTCCAAAGAGAAACCCTGTCTCACAGAAAAAGAAATAAAAGTAAAAGAAATACAGTAAAATATAGATAAATAAATAAGCCACATAAAGATGGAAAATACACAAAGAGTCTGGATACTGTATGCTATTGTGTTTTTCAGTTTTTTGATTGCTCAGGAAGGAACAACTGCTAAATACACTTGATTATAAATGCTGCTGAATTAATTCAACTTATATCTTTTGAAAATGCCTTGACTTCAAAATTTAAGTATAAGGATATGTTACTTCGGAAAGGAGTTTTTGTTTATGTTTCTACAGAAAATGAAAAGCTGAGGATTCCTTCCAGGCTTCTGTGGTTTGATGAACCAAGACCCCCGAAAGCAGTGGGCCAGGTGTTCCAACAATTGAGACAGCTAAGATGATGCACCCTTACAGACCCTGAAAATAAGGACTTATAGAGGTTTCTAAGTTTTGTCATGAACAGCGCCCCCTTCCAGCATGAAGCATTTTGGAATGAGCGATGTCCTAATTCCCATCTTGTTTATAAATCTTTGTTTTCATTTAAATGGGGTTGCTTATAATTGGTTAATGATCACAACCAATCTCTTTTTAAAGGAAAAAGAGGATTATGGTATAGAAATGAATACTTTGTATTGGTATGGTTTTTCATTTATTGATACAAATTCAAGGTCAATTTTGTGATGTGTATATTTCTCCTCTTGATTAAGTATTGTGTTTATACTAATCTTTTAAAACATAATACATAGTTAAATACAGATTATAGGTAGTTACTTATAATAGTTAGAACTTATAGTTAGGTAAGTTAGCTTTTCTAGATATACAGAGATATATTTGAGATAGATAGTCTTCAAACCTTTCAAAGACCTTCAGAAAATGGCATTTTAAATGTTTTAGGGTTTTCTTGACATTGAGAAATGTCTGCTCCTGGCAGCACCAATTATGTCTGAGAGGAAGATGGGCATCGGAGAAACTCGTTATGGAGTTTGCTTTCAACATGGCAAGATTAGCCATTTGGGCAAGAAACTGCTCTTGCCTAGACTGTTTGACTGTTTCTGTATAAACTGGACATGCAGGACCCACAGGAAAGTGACTGCTGAACTCAAACAGTCCTTCAGGGAAGAGTCTATGAGACTTTCTGCAGGACACAGAAAAATGACTGACAGACTGCTGATGCAGATGGACAGTTTGAAATTTCCTGCTTTGCTGAGAAGACTTCCGGACACACTGTGGCCTATGGGCTGAAGATGGAAGCCCCAACATTACAGAGAAACTTGGGTGACTGTCCAGGCAGGAAGATGTCTCTGTCAATCCTAGTGTTTATATATTATCCTTCTGTGGTCTTTGATAGAGTTGAAGGCAGATAGTTATAGCTATAGTTTTCCTTTGTTATCATAAAGGATAGGCTACATATAGAACTTTGAACTCACAAGGATGGAATGGATGATATTTTCTTTAAATCTTGCTAGAATATTATAACTGTGTTCTTACTTGATAACTATTCTGCTGTATATAATTTGACTATGTTAAAGTTAAGACCTTTCTTTTTGTTTAGACAGAAAACAGGAGATGATGGGGGAAATCCTGTGTATATGTCAATAAAGCACTGTTGGCCAATAGGGAACCAAGATAGGTGGGACTAGGAATCCAGGTGGACTCTGGGTAGAAGAAACACAGGAAGTCAAGATGTAAGGCCATAGGGTAGGAAGCCCAGAAACCTCTCCGGTAAGAGAAATACTTAGATTAACAATTATGGGGTAATTACTTAAGTCAGAGCTAGCCAGTAAGAAACAAGCAAGGGCAACAGCTTCATAATTAATATAGCCTCCTGTGTGTTTATTTGGGACTGATACGGCTGTGGAACCAGGCTGGCAGGAAGGCTTCCCTTTACATGTGTCTGAGGCAAAATTGAAAGTACCTGTTTACTTTGGAATGGATTACTTTGGGTCTTACATGTGTTAGGGTTAGTGCAGTTAGAATCTACTATAAAAAGCAGCAGATGGGTGCTTGAGTGGAATCCTGGATTCCCTTCCTAATCATATCTAGGTAAGTGTCATTTTGGTATCTTCAACATTCAGCTTTTAACTGTTTATTGCCAGTTTGATTCCAGCCCTATCATTTAATTTGTCTTTTGCTGTGGTTTCACTTCTCAAGATATCTCTCTCTCTCTCTCTCTCTCTCTCTCTCTCTCTCTCTCTCTCTCTCTCTCTCTCTCTCTCTCTCTCTCTCTCTCTCTCTCATTTTATTACCTTTATTTACTTCTGGCCTGTGTGTGGCAAAGGACAACTTCCAGGAGTGGATTCTATCCTTCCACCATGTGGGTCTCAAAGATTGAACTCATGGTGTCAAGTTCACAGCAACATCTGAGCCATCTCAATAGTCCTTTCCATTTAATTTTGTCGTTAATTATGTGTATATGTGATAGGGACATGTCCCTTGGAGCTGGAGTTTTAGGTGAGTGTGAGCCACCTGACAATGGATGCTAGGAAGTGAACTCTGGGGACTCTGCAAGAACAGTATGGAACCTGAGGGGATCACAAGAAAGTATCATAATTCCTTGGAACTAGAATTTCAGGAAGCTGTAAACCACTACATATGTGCTGGGAATCGAACCAGAATCCTCCTAGAAGAGTAGCTATCGCTCTATCTTTTTATTTATTTTTTTGAAACAGGGTTGCACTGTATGTCACTGGCTTGCCTTGAACTTGCCATATAGTCCAGGATAGCCTTGAACTGATAGAGTTCTGCACAGATAATTGCCTGCCTGACTCCGAAGTGCTAGGATTAAAGTAGATCACAATGCCCAGGTTTTTTTTAACAGCATCTTACTCTGAAGCCCATGCTTCCTAGAACTTGAAGCAATTATTTGCCTCTTCTTCCCAAGTGCCAAAATTAAAGGCATGCACCACCATTCCTAGAGACATAATACACAAATCTAATACCTATTCATTTTGTTAGTTGACCCCCCAATCTAGTTAAGTCCAAAAACTAGTTGAGCTATGATATTATATTCTGTCATTTCTCTTAGGCATAATTAGTCTGGAATTTTCTAACAACATTTGTCTTTTTTTTTGAGACAGGGTCTTAGACAGTCCTGGCTGACCTCATATTTGATGTTTAGTTGACGTTGTCCTCGAATTCCTGGTCTTCCTGACTCCACCTCCAAATGCTGAGGGTGGGGTGTTCCCTCCTTAATATACTTTTGTATATTTGAGCTTTGTCTGATATTTCCTCATGATTAGAATATGATTATATGTTCTGATATTTTGTCTTTTTTTTTGGTTTTTTGAGACAGGGTTTCTCTGTATTGTTTTGGAGATTGTCCTGGAATATTTTGTCTTTTTTAAATATTTTTATTTCATTTGCATTGGTGTTTTGCCTGCATGTATGTTGCTGTGACAATGTCAAATTCCCTGGAACTGGAGTTACAGACAGTTGTGAGCTGCCCTGTGGGTGCTGGAAATTGAACCTGGGTCCTTTGGAAGAGCAGTTAGTGCTTCCAACCACTGAGCCATCTCTCCAGTCCCCTATTTTGTCCTTCTTGAAATAACATGGTCAGGGATCCACAATGTGTTTCTCCCCTACTGGTTGAGTATGTGTGTATGTATATGCATCCGTTTTGCACATATGGAGGTAGGTAAAAAGACTCTTCCACCATGTGATCCTAGGCATTAAATTCAGGTCTTCAGTCTTCTAGGTAAGCACCTTTACCCACTGAGCCATTTTGTGGGCCCAGTGATACTGATTTTGAATAACTGATTAAGTTGTTGTCAGATATCTAATAATGTATCATTCAAGTAAAGTATTTGTTAACCAAATACATACATGCATAAAGCTTACAAATTAAATATAGGTATTACAGTGAATAATCATATTCGGAGCTTATTGGTGAATTAATATCTTAAATGTAATAACCTTCCTAATTTTTTTTTGAAATGGCAGATACGGTATAACTGGTGTAACCATGTACTTCCTGTAGAAGCCAGAAGAGGGTGTCAGATCCCCTGAAATTATTAGGAAGTTGTGAGCTGCCTTGTGGGTTCTGGGAACAGAATCCAGGTTCTCTGCAATAGCAGGAAGTGCTCTTAAGCACTGAGCCATTTGTCTAGCTCCAATAACCTTTTTTTTCTCCTGTATAGAAGCAGCTGTGCCACCATGGGTTGATAGTCATGATGAAGAAACAATTCAACAGCAGATTTTGGCTTTATCAGCTGTGAGTACCCTATAAATACCCTGTGTAGGTAACATTTTTCTCCTATTATACTACATCTCTGTTCACAGGATTTTCCCTTTAGCTAAATTATTTTTCTTTTTCTTTCCCCCGAGACTGGGTTCTTCTGTGTATTTGAGACTGGGTTTTGCTATGTAGCCTAGGCTGGCCTTGAACTCACTATGTAGCCTAGGCCAGCCCCACAATGGTCCTTCCTATTGAGCTTCCCTAGTACTAAGGTTATAAGCATGTACCACCATGCCAGGCTTTTACAGTTTTCATTGGTTGGTTTGGTTTGGTTTGAGACAGGGTCTCACTATATAACTCTGGCTGACCTAGAACTTACTGTGTAGACCAGGCTGGCCTCAAACTAACAGATATCCACCTGCCTCTGCCTTTCCAAGTGCTGGGATTAAGGCATGTGCCACTATGTCCTATTTTTACGGTTTATAAAAACATTTTTGAAAGTTTAAGAACATACATGTTAACTTTTATGATTTTTAATAACTTCCTGTTTTTGTTTTGTTTTTGCAGTACTGAGTCAGGCATGCTAGATAAGTACTTTAGCACCGAGCTACATCCCCAGCCTTTGTTCTTGGTGACTCAATGAGTTTCATTAGCATTGCTTACAGGAGCATGGGTGAGAAGTTATTTATAGGAATATGACCAACTTACCAATGGCTATACCACTGAAGAAAATGTGTTTAGATCTCCAGGCAGGGATAGGGCCCTGTGACATTCTTTCATTGATCTGTGACTTTATTGTTTTTGTTTTTTTAAGACAGTGTTTCCCTGCATAGCCCTGGTTGCCCTGGAACTGGCTTTGTAGACCAGGCTGGTCTCAAACTTGCAGAAATATAGAGATCCATCTGTCTCTGCTTCCCAAATGCTGGGATTAAAGGCCACCCAGCCTGAGTTTTTTTTAAACTTTGAGTTAGCTTATACTTTCCTTTCTTTTTTCACATTAAAGTATAGCCTATTATACCAAATCATTGTTTCAGCCTTATCTGTAATCCTAGTACTTGGGATACTGATGCAGGAAGATTTTTCACTAGTTTGAGGTTAGGATGGGCTGTATAATGAGGCTGTTTCAAAAAAGAAAGAGATTTTTTTTTGTTTTTTCTCTGTGGCTTTGGAAGCTTCCTGGAACTAGCTCTTGTAGACCAGGCTTGCCTCAAACTCACAGATATCTGCCTGCCTCTGCCTCCCAAGTGCTGGGATTAAAGGTGTGCATCACCACCGCCCGGCAGGAAAAGATTCTTTTATATGAGGAAGCAATGCACTTCTTGTGAATGAAATGATTATATTCTATGTTATCTCTTTACCTTCATATGTTTGTTGGTAATTGACATTAATATAGACAGAATCCCATTTGCTGGCCCACAAAACTATCTTAGGACTTCAAGAAATGTAACCATACCAGCCTACAGTGATGTTGCAGAGGACAGTTTCAGAAAGCACTTCACCACACTCTACCTTTTGAAGCTCCCAGCATGACTACCGTGTATAGCTAGTTCTTTTTTTTTTCTTTTTTTTCTTTTTTTTTTTTGGAGGGGTGGTTCGAGACAGGGTTTCTCTGTGGCTTTGGAAGCTGACCTGCAACTAGCTCTTGTAGACCAGGCTGGTCTCAAATTCTCAGAGATCCACCTGCCTCTGCCTCCTGAGTGCTGGGATTAAAGGCGTGCATCACCACTGCCTGGCTGGTGTAGCTAGTTCTTTTATCCTTATTGCACACCAAGGGGGCGAGATTCTAATGTTATGCTTACTTATGTGTTCTCTCAGAGAGCAAAGACCAGCTTGATCAAAGCTCAGTGCATGGCACATGACTTCATGAATCCTTATTTTCACTGTGATCAGTAGTTTTTGCTTTTGCTTATTTTTATCTGTGTGGGTATTACATGCCTGCATATATGTTTATGTACCACTTGTGTGCCTGGTGCCATTAAAAGTCAGAAGAAAGTATAGAATCCCCTGCATCTGAAGTTGCAGGTAATTATGAGTTTCTGTATGGGAGCTGGGACTCAAACCCAGGTCCTCTGGAAGAAGAGCCAGTGTTCTTACTGCTGAACCAACTCTCCAGTACTTCTCCTACCGCCTTTCTTTGTTTTTGAGACAAGGTCTTACAACATAACTCCAGCTTGCTCAGAACTTAGATATCTACCTGTCCACTCCTCCAGAGTGCTGGGATTCAAGGCTCATCTTTGTTTTTAACCTACTTTTTCTTTTTGTAAAACATTCAGTACCATTTATTTATTGTGTGAGTATGTACACACATATCACAGCACATGTGGAGATCACAGTATAACATGGAAAGAGTTGGTGTTCTCCTCTCATGTTGGTTCCAGGGATCTCTGAGCTATCTCACTGGACAATCCTCTTTAACCTACTCTTACCCCTCTTGTTACTAGGGACTGAATTCAGGGCCTTGTGTACTGTGGAGTTTATTCGTGTGCTCTATTATCACTGAGCTACAGCACCAGCACCCCACCTCTACTCTTCTTTTCTAGTAAAACTTTGTGAGACTTCCTTGTCTTATACTTCCTCCACAGAAAAGCCTGGGTAATAGTCATTGAAATATATGCACTCATGAACCAGAAACTCCACTTACTGGGGTTCTTCAAAAGATGTCATTTTATCGGCCAGCAAGATGGCTCAGTGCATAAAGAAAACTCTTGCCTCACAAGCCTAGTGACCTGAGTCAATCCCTTGGACCACATAAAAGATGGGAGAGAGAACCAAATCAACAAAGTTGTCTTCTCACCTCTTCGTACAAGCCGTGTCTCAGGGGTGTATGCCTGTACCTCCCCCCGCCAACATACACAATAATGATAATAAATTTTAAAATTTAAAGATCACTTTACAAAGGAATCAAAACTCTCCTTTTTTTTGCTGGGCGTTGATAGTGCACGCCTTTAATCCCAGCACTCGGGAAGCAGAGGCAGGTGGATCTCTGTTCATGGCCAGCCTGGTCTACTACAGAGTTGTTCATGACCTTGAATGAAAAAAGAAAGCCAGCTTTCATACTTGTCATCCCAGTAGTCAGGAGGTTGAAGCAGGAGGATCAGGAGTTCAAGGTTATCCTCCAATAGATGGAGAATTTAAGGCTAGCCTTTGCTATAGGAGATTGTCTTTAAAACAAAAATTTGGGACTGGAGTGTTGGCTAAGTGGTTAAGAACACTGGGTGCTTTTTCAGAGGACCTAGTTTGACTCCCAGCACCTACATGGCTGCTCACAACCATCATTAGCGTCAAGCCTCAGGATTGTACACCCTCTTCTGATCTCTGCAGTCACCAAGTATGCATGTGATGCATAGACATAGACTTCATAAAACACCTATACACATAAAAACATTTTAAAAAATAAGAAAAGCTGGGGTGGTGGTGGTGGTGGTGGTGGTGCACACCTTTAATCCCAGCATCCAGGATGCAGAGGCAGGGGGATCTCTGGGAGTTTTGATTCCTTTGTAAAGTGATCTTTAAATTTTAAAATTTATTATCCTTATTGTGTGTGTTGGGGGGGAGGCCAGCCTGGTCTACAGAGTAAGTGCTAGGACAGACTCCAAAACCACAGAGAGAACCCCTGTTTCAAAAAAATAAAAAAAAAGAAAAACTAATGTTTTTGTAAAGTGAAAATTCCTTTAAAAAACAGTGCTAGCTAATCACAATGTATGGACTGCCTACCTTATTTATGTGAAATTTATGCTGTACTAGTCAGGATTCTCTAAAGGCACAGAACTGACAGAATGAATATACATATTAAATGTAGATTTATTAGACTGGCTCTCAGGATGTGGTTCACATAGGCCAACAGCTGTCTTACAATCGAAAGCTAAGAATCTGTTAGTTGTCCAGTCCACAAGGTTGGATATCTCTGCAGTCCCTGTCTGGTGCTGTAGTCCTGTAATGTCCTGGATATAACTGCTGGCCCTCAGTATACATTGGAATCCTGAAAAAGTTGGATTTAATACCAGCTGCAGCAATAGGATAGACAAATTTGCATGAAGAGAGTGAGGGCAAACAGGCAAAAAGCAAGTTTTCCTCCTGAGTCCTTTTATGAAGGCTGCCAGATTTGGGGTGGGTCTTCCTGCTTCAAATAATCTGATTAATAAAATTCCTCACAAGAGTGCCTAACAGCTTGGGTTTTAGTTGATTTCAGATGTAGTCAAGTTGACAATCAAGATTAGCCATCACACTTTCACAGACACCGGATATATTAGAGAGATAGGCCCAGGAGAGTGTTATGTTGAGGCACAAGTTGTCTGTAACTAGTAGGATTCTATGTTGTGTTGTTTTACTTTGTTGAGTTTTTATTTTGAGATGGGCTAATCTGGTCCCAAACTTACTAGGGTAGCACAAGCTGGTCTTAGACTCATTCTGTAGCAGAGGCTGGCCTTAAATTTCTAAGCCTCCTGCTTCTGCTTTCCAAGTACAGGGATTATAGGCATTCGATATCATACCTAACTCTTGGTTCTGGGATTCTTTATTCTATGCTTTTCTTGAATGTTTATGGTGGTAGTTCTGTTGTTTTTCTGTTGCTTGATTTTTAGTTTTTAATTTTTATATGTACAGGTGTTTTGCTTGTATGTCCATGTACCACACAGCTCAATGGACTTTGTGACTGAAGACTTGGTTAAAACTTAGTGATGCACACCTTTAATCCCAGCACTCAGGAGGCAAAGGCAGGGGGAAATCTCTGAGTTCAAGGCCAGCCTGGTTTACAGATCGAGTTCCAGGACAGCCAGAGTTACACAGAAACCCTGTCTAGAAAAAACATCAGTGTATCAAGTCCATGATACATTATAGCCTATTAATTGCATTTCGTGATCCTCCCACCCTCATTTTTCATCACAGGACAAGAGGAATTTCCTTCGGGACCCACCAGCTGGTGTGCACTTTAACTTTGACTTTGACCAGATGTACCCTGTTGCCCTGGTCATGCTCCAAGAGGATGAGCTACTAAGCAAGATGAGATTCGCCCTTGTTCCTAAACTGTAAGCACCATGTACACTGCTCACTCCTGTAGTGATGATTTCTGTTTCACCATAGAGATTTCACTTTCCTAGGGGCTCTAGGTAGATGTACAGTGTTAGGGCCAGAACCCTCTTGACACTACTGTTCATCCAAACAGGCCCCATAGCCCTTCAGAGGCCCTGTGTTCTTGGCAGCATGCCTCAAAATGGAAAGGGAGGGCAGGAAGACTTGGCATGAAAGTCAGGATGGGAAGGAGATGTGCTTGTTGGCCAAGTTAAGGTAGAACATGTTTCCTTCAGAAACAACAAATAGACCAAAGAAAATCAGATCTGTAAAGGCCCCCCTTGCCCTTTTCCTGAAATACATGTTGTGTATTCAGGCTCTGCAGCAGCTGTGTTCTATTCTGTTTCTTGTGGTTTTTCTTCCACCAAAGAAAGGCCCTTCCCTACTCATAAAATTCCTTTTGCCCTTTAAGCTCCAGAGCAAGCTGTAGTCTGTGATGCTTTTCCCATCAGCCTGCCAGCAGAGGGCAGCCTTCCCCTCTGCAGCATCCCTGCAGCTTTGTCTATCTCTGATTCTCATGTAGGGTTTTTGTTGTTGTGTTTGCAGTACTGGAAATTGAATTTAGGACCTGGCTCACACCAGGCAATGTTTCAATGCTGAAATACATCCGAAGACCTCTTTTTGACTTTGTTATTTTAACATAGGGTCTTACTAGTTTGCCTAGCTGGGTCTTGAAGTCAATCTATATCCTCAGCAGACCTTGAAATTTCAATCCTCCTGCTTCAGGCTCCCAAGTAACTAGGTTTACAGGCTTGAGCTACCAGGCCTGGTTTTTATTATGATAATTATGATTGTCACTGCTATTTATTTTGTTCATATTTTTTGAAGTCAGCTTTCCAAGCAGGGCTTGGCTCAGGACTATAATCTTAGCACTTGAGAGGCAGAGGCAGGAGGATTGTGAGAGGCCAGCCTGGGTCACAAATGGGAAAACCCTATTTCTAAATAAAATCAAGGCAGGGCATTGTGATTTAACATTTGTCATCCCAGTACTCAAGAAGTTGAGGCAGAAGAATCACTATGAGTTTGAGGACACACATAGTGACTTAACAGCTATCTGTAATTCCAGGGGATTTGATGCTCTCTTCCTGGCCCATGTGGGCACAGGCATACACGTGCTACACAAACATACATGCAGCCAAAAGTACCCATACAAATAACATATTGAAAAAATCTAGCTTGAGCTGGTGAGATGGTTCAGTGGGAAAAAACACTTGTTGCTAAGATTGAGGACCTGAGTTAAGGCCTTGGGGCTACATGGTGGAAAGTAACTATGAGACTTAGGGAGCTAATTGGGCCTGTTTACATTTTAAGACCCAGGGTCTTAACTCAAAACATCAGAGCTAGGCAAAAGTGAAGTTGCAGCTAAGCATGGTAACACACACACTTATAATCTGAGTATTTAAGAGGCGGAGGCAAGAAGACTGCTACTAGTTTGAGGCCAGTCTAGGCTACATAGTAAGTTACAGGCTAAGTGAAACTCTGTCTCAAAGGGGAAAAAAGTTGAAGTGGACTGCCTAAGTATCTTCAAGGCCACTTTTAATTCTGAGCTCTGTGAAACATCCCACATGAACAAACCTTGGGATGTACTAATGTCACTGTGGTGACTCATGGGCTCTGTTTGCTCCTTTGATGAACAAAAACAACCATTTGGACTTCTTTCTTTGCCAGACTCCCTTCCTCTTGATGTAAGAGAGGCAGATACTTTGCAGAAAACTTGTGCATCACCCTCTGGGGAAGAATCACACTCCAGATGACATTGTAAAGGTTCCAAAAGGTCCTCTGGTAAAGAAACCTACTGGGCACAGCTGCAGTTCCCAAGCATGAATCCATTTTTGCTCTTGTGTTGGATTTGAGTCATTAGAAGCCTGTGGACACGCTATAAGGAACACTGGGCATATGTCAGCCTATGGCTGGAAAAGACTGGTAGTTTCTCCCCTTCTTTCAGAGGGCTTCAAAGTGTGATGTAGCAGCAGGGCACTGGCTGGGTTCAGGCTGCCATAAGGAAGTACTGACACATACCTATGTGCATCTCGAACAGTCCTTCAATTTCTTTTTGTTTGTTTTTCGAGATATGGTTTTTCTGCGTAGCTTTGGAGCCTGTCCTGGAACTCACTCTGTAGATCAGGCTGGCTTCGAACTCACAGAGAGCTACCTGCCTCTACCTCCCGAGTGCTGGGATTAAAGGCGTGCGCCACCAACACCTGGCCATTTTTAGTTTTGAGACAGTCTCCTATGTAATCCAGGCTGGGCTTGAACTCAGGATTCTTCTGCCTCAGCCTCCCAGAGAACTTGTTTTTTCTCTTTTTTTTATTTGAAACCTGATGTCTCATGACCTTTGATTCTTTTTTGTGGGGAAGGGCTACTGGAGATGGAACCCAAAGCCTTGCACATGGTTAGCACATTGTAAGCAATTGTTCCATTACTGAGCTCTGAAGTCCAACCCTGAATACTTTATTATGTATTCCCTATGAACACTCATTCTTTCCCACAACCCCAGTGTGACTATCAAATCAGGTCACAAATGACTAGCAGGTCTCACATTATTGCAGTCTGGTTTTCAGACCCCATTTTAAATGTTTTATTTTTTCTAATAATGTTTTTTTAGCAAAAGAATCCAATTAACTCAACAAAGAACCCAGTTAATACCCTAGATTACATTTAGTTCTCATGTCTCATCAGTTGCCTTTCATCATTTGTACCTTGTGTGAGGCATATTGCCATTTGTCCCAGTATAGTTCATACTTTGTTCTCTTGAAGGTGCTGTTTGGCAGGCTTTTTAACTGCAAGATTACTGTTTTCCTCTTTGAATGTAATTAGTGTTGAGCATGATAGCAAGGCCTATAATACCTACACTCAGGAAGCAAAGACAGAATAACAAGTTCAGATCTAGCCTGGGCAACATTTTGAGACCATGTCTCAAATAATTATAATGATAAGTAGAACTGGGCACATCTGATCCTACTACTGGGGAGGAAGATTACTGTGGGCTACATAGTGAATTCAATGCCAGCCTGGATGCACATCAAAACCCTGTTTTAATAAACAAGCAAGGGAACTGGAAAGATGGCTAAGAGCACTTGGTGCTCCTGCAGAGGATCCAGATTCAGTTCCCAATACCAATATTGGATGGCTCACAACCACCTGTAAGTCCAGCTCCAAGGGATCTGATGTCTTCTTATGGTCTCTGCAAGTGCTGCAAGCACATGATAACAAGTAAAAAAAAAGCTGGGGTCAGTGGCAAATACCTTTAATTCCAGCACTTATGGGACTGAGACAGGAGAAGAGTTCACAGCAGCCTGGGCTGGTAATACATAAAGAACTCAAGGTGAGCTATAGAGTAAGACCCTACTTCAAAGGGAGTTCAGAGGGGAGAAAAGAAAGAAAAGCTAATTAATATTTTGTGAATAGAGACTTCATGGTGTGTGTGCGTGCGTGTGTGCAAGTGTGCATGTGCGTGTTGAAATAGTGTCTCATGTATCCCAGGCTGGCCAGAAACTGGCTTTGTCATTGAGGATGACCTTTGCCTTCTGATCCTCCTGCCTGCCTCCATCTCCTGAGTGCTATGATTACAGCCATGTGCCCCACTGTGCCTGGGGATCAAACGTAGGACTTTGTGCATATTTGGCAAGTGCTCTACCAAAAGAACTATATATCAGCATTAAAGACTTAATGACAACATAATATTTGGGGAGTCATTGAACAATTTGTGGGAGTCAGTTCTCTCCTTCAGCCATATGAAGCCCAGGAATCAAACTCAGGTCATTAGGCTTAGCAGCAAGTACGTTTGCCCACTGAACCATTTCACTGCTCCCTTAGGGACTTTGAAACTTCATTCTATTCATCATAAAATTTTCCATATATTCTTGTATTTATATCCATATTGTCTCATGCATTTGATGCACTGAGTTGTAATCTGTTATTATTTTGATGTTCAAAGCATCATCACTTTGACAGGTGGGAGCCTAGCAAAACTTAACATCTGTATCCTTTGGTAGTGGTTTTGTTTGAGATAGTGTTACACTATGTAACCCTGATTGTCCTGAAACTTGCTATGTAGACTGGGCTAGCCTCAAATTCAGACTTCACCTGCCTCTGCCTCCTGAGTGCTGGGATTAAACATGTGGGCCACCACAAGATCCAAGCTCATTTATTTTTACCTTCTTCTAATCCTGGGATCCATCATTTATATATTCAGAAAGTGCTGGTACCTTTTATGGAAAATGAAATTTTATTCTTCCTTAGTATCATATATTAATATAATAATGGTTTTCAGAAAATGACATGTAGAAAGCAAGAACTGAGCATCATTTTAGTGTCACTCCTCACCAACAGAGGATACAGCTAGGAGGTGTACACATGCTCAGTTGTGTCTCCATGGAATGAAAACTATGTCCACAGGGATACCTCCCAATAAGGATCACACTCATTTTCTTCTGCCATGCTTGTAACTCCCTGCTCTGGCAGTGAGAAGCCTGATTCTATGACCTTTAAAATTTTTCAACCCCCTGCATGTCACTAAGGTCTTATTTCTAACTCCCCTTCATCTTCTATTCAGATACCACTCTCTTTCTGCTTTTTTCTTACTGTCCTTTCTAGGCAACCTATTGTGTGTACCTACCATACTCTACTTGGCACCAATGCCTCAAGCCAGGCAGGTCCAATATGTGAGTTCTCAGGTTGAATAGAACTTGTCTTTATCAACCATCTACCAGATGGTTTTGGGTATAATTTGTTAGTAGAGTGCTTGCCTAGTTTGCACAAAGCCCTGGGTTCTATTCCCAATTCTGCCCCCCACACAAAGCTTTTATAACATGTCTCATTCTGTTTCTACTAGTTGCTAGCTACTTTAGCAAGCTGCCAGCTGGTGTATTTCCTACGGAATAACATTAAGCCGGCTGTGATAGCAAAAGCCTGTAATCCTAGCACTTGAGTGATGGAGACAGGAGAATCAGGAATTCAAGGTCAACCTTAGCTATGTAGTGATTTTGAAGCCAATCTGTGATACATTGGACTCAATCATTTTTTGATTTTTGGGGGTTTTTTGTGTTTTTTTTTGTTGTTGTTTGTTTGTTTTTCAAGACAGGGCTTAAACTCACAGAGATCCACCTGCCTCTGCCTTCTGAGTGCTGGGATTAAAGGCATACACCACCACCGCCTAGCGGGACTCAATGTTAAAAAACAAGCAAGGATTGGGGAGATGGCTCATCAGTTAAACACTTGCCTGGCAAGCATGAGGACTGGAATTCAAATGCTCAGGACCCATGTAGATTCGAGGTGGGTGTGGTCCAGCCTTGAAAAGAGGACATGAGACCCTGGAGCCAGCTGACCAACCAGACTAGCCATATCTACTGGCTGTATCAGTGAGTTCAGAGTTTGATTGAGCGATCCTACCTCAATATATAATAAAGTGGAAGAACAGTTGAGGGTGGTTCCCCATCCATATTCAACATTGACCCTCCACATACACATGTATATATGTGCTCACACACATTCAGACATATATACCCACACATACAAAGAACAACATCCACAATGGTTTCTTCCCACTGCATAAAAGCATATAATCCTTTAGAAAACAGCAAAGGGCCGGGCGGTGGTGGCACACGCCTTTAATCCCAGCACTCGGGAGGCAGAGGCAGGCGGATCTCTGTGAGTTTGAGGCCGGGCTGGACCGACAGCCTCCAAAACAATACAGAGAAACCCTGTCTCGTAAAAACAAAAAAAGAAAGAAAAAAAAAAGAAAACAGCAAAGGACCACAGTGTCCTGTCTCAGCTTCAAGTTCCCCTGGTTAGTCATACAGCCACACATGAATGTCTTGTTTCTTTCTGCCAAGAGTCAAATCTATATATTAAAATATTAAGAAATAGGGGGCCACCAAGATAGCTCAGCAAGTAAAGGCACTTGCTACCAAACCACATGAGTTTGAGTCTCACGTGGCAGAAAAAGAGAACTCCTAAAAGTTGTCCTATAGGCCCTGCTTGTATGTACATACACACATGATAAATACACATATTTTTTAAAAAGGGACTAGAGAGATGACTCAGCAGTCAATAACATTAGCTATTCTTCCAGACATCCCAGGTTCAATTCCCAGTATCTACATGGTAGCTCACCACAGTCTGTAACTCCACTTCCAGAGTTTATCCAGTGCCTTCTTTTTGCTTCCCTGGGCCTTGCATACATGTGGTACTTAGGTATACATGCAGGCAAAACATCTGTACACATAGAATAAAGTTAATAGCATATATAGAAGCACCAGGAAATACTGATAGTTCATGAGCATTGAATAACTCATCTCTTGCTTCTGTGGAGACTATAGCTCAGTGTACCCTGTAGTTTAGCTTTAGCTTGTAAAGCAAATGATCTTTTCCTTTGGCCCTCACAAGGACTGAAAGCACTCAGGCTGGAGCTCTAGCTTGATAATAAAGTGCAGGCTTGCCTGGCAGTGCATGAAACCCTATATCCCCAAAGGCAAATAAGTAATGATCTATTCTAGGCTTTGCTATACTAACATGTGTGCCCTTGACCCTCACATTCTCACATGTGTCACTGTCTATCAAAGTGTGAAGGAAGAAGTATTCTGGAGGAACTACTTCTACCGCATCTCCCTGATTAAGCAGTCAGCTCAACTAACTGCACTGGCCGCCCAGCAACAAGCCTCTGGAAAGGAAGAGAAAAGCAGCAAAGAGGATGATTTGCCTCTGACAGGTACATTCCAGAGGAGAAGAGATCATTCTGGAAGAAAAGAATTGATGTAAAATATAGAGATGCTAATGAGTTTGTCATCTTGTATGCATCAAAAATGTTGATATCTCTGTACAGAAACATTCTTTTCTTTCCAAAGGAAATTTTCTGTTTTGCTGCCCTTTCTGGTACAGCTTACATGTGTCTTCCCCAGGTGTTTTTTTGCTATCTCATTCTTGGTTCTTTTTTGTTTGTCTTTTGTTTTTCCAAGACAGGTTTTCTCTGCGTAGTCCTGGCTGTTCTGGAACTAGCTCTGTAGACCCAACAGGCCTTGAACTCAAAGATGCACCTGCCTCATTACAGTCTTCTTCTCTACATCTCTTCTCTTGACCCTTTGGTCTTTGTTTTGGGGTCTCATGTAGTCCAGGCTGGCCTTGAGTTCCTGATCCTCCTGCCTACATATCTCAAGTGCTTGTGTTACAGGCATGTGCTACCGAGGCCAGATGTTTCTCAGACTTCAATTCATTCCTATTTCCTTGGGCCTTACCATTGTAGAGCCCAGTAGTCCTTATTCCAGTCCAATTACAAGTATCTATTGAACATCTGGCACTTTCCTCCCATGATGTATTACCCCTGTTTTCCAGGGAACATGTATTATAATATCAGCAAATATTTAATGAACTATGATACTAATATAGGGTCAAAGAGTTAACTTGGAAATTAAGAACACTTCCTGCTCTTCCAAAGGTCTTGAGTTCAGGTACCACCACCCACATGGATGGCTTACAGTCCCTTGTACCTCCAGTTTCAGGAGATCTGATACCCTCTTCTGACCTTCATGAGTACTCAGGCATAAATAAAAATAAAGCTGGGCATGGTTGCACGAACCTTTAATCCCAGCACCCTAGAGGCAGAGGCAGTCAGATCTCTGAGTTGGAGGCCATGTTGGTCTACACAGAGAATTCCAGACTAGCCTGGGATATGTAGTAAGACCCTGTCTCAAAAAAAAAACACCCAAGCAAACAAAATAAATAGAAGTAAATATTAATATATATTGTATAATATTTTATATATTTTATTGCACCGAGATTGGATCCCAGCGCCTTGCAAATACTAGGCAGGAACTCTATTGAGCTTATCCCTAGCTCTTCTAGTTCTTTCTTCATTTTTCATGAGTGCCTGCTGTGTATCATCTGATAAGAAGTGGGGCAATTTAGTTTGTGGAATTTTATGTAAGTATGTCATAAGACAAGACAGGTTGTACAAACTACTAGGAGAAGCTCTAAAACTATGCTCAAGGTCAAGGTGCATATAGGTATTGTGAATTCTAGTGAACTTTCATTCTTTAGCAATATCCTTAAATTGTGGTTGGCTTTTGGTTTTTAGAAGGTAGCTTTTTGAGACAGGGTTTCACTGTGTAACCCCAGCTAGTGCTGAACTCCTAAGCCATCCTCCTCCTCTGACCCTGAAATGCTTAGATTACAAGCATGGACTACCTCTTGGCTTTCTAAAATTAATGTTATTGGGAATGCTACACTGGGAATATAGCTCAGTGGTAAAGCACTTACCTAGCACTGCTGAAAAAGAAAAAAAAAAGAAAGCCATTTCCCCAAAGACTGCCTGTTTAACAAAAGGAATCTAAAAGTACTCAGTAAGGACTGTCAGCATGATTAATAGGATAAAGAACAGAAGGGCGGGGCTGGAGAGATGGCTCACTGGTTAAGAGAACTGACTGCTCTTTCAGAGGACAGAAGTTCAATTCCCAGCACTTACATGGCAGCTCACAACTGTAACTCCAGTTCCAGGGACCTGACATCCATGGCAAAACACCAATGTACATACAATAAAAATATCTATTTAAAAAAAAAAGAGCAGAAGGGCTAGAGAGATGACTCAGCGGTTAAGAGTGAGTGTTGCTCTTACAGAGGATTCAAGTTCAGTCCCCAATACCCACGTTAGTCAGCTCACATTGCCTGTAACTCCAGGACCAGAGGATTCAACATCTTCTTTTTGGCCTCTGGGGACACACACATACCCCCCCCCATACACACAGTTAAATCTTTACAGGATATCCAGCAGTATTTTGTTTTCTAACCTGGCTGGTAACAGGGAAGCTTGATAAATAGCTTCATTCTTAGTATCCTAAAAGAAAGCACAGAATCAATTTTGCACTGAAGTTCAAAGATGATTTCCTAATAGAAATTCCATATAAGGATACTGAATGTGGTTGCAGATCTAAAATGACATTCCTGCTGGGCATGGTGGTGCGTATATTTAATCCCAGCACTCAGGAGGCAGACGCATGTGGATCTCTGTGAGTTCTAGGGTAGTCAGGGCTACATAAGGAGATCCTGTGTCTAAATAGATAAAACACAAGGACACTCACAAAGTAGGAGGTTGACATGTAGTGCCTGGCTATGTCATGTCATAACTTCAGGAGAGCTAAAAATATGTCATAAAAGCTCATTTCTCAAACTGATTTAATACCGTGGATATTCTAGCTGTTCTTATGATACGCATTCAAAAGTAAACGAAGCAATTATTGTCTCTTTTATTCTCACTTCATAGAGGCAGTACGACCCAAAACACCACCTGTCGTAATCAAATCTCAGCTAAAAACTCAAGAGGTAATACAGTTTTACATTATACTTAGTAGATGATGTCTGAAAATGAAGTTACTGGTTTAACCATTTCTGATACCATTTAAAGCTGCTTGAAAGTGTCAGTCTTATGCCTGCAAGATGAGGAGTCCAGTACTTGAATAGTCAAGGGCCTGTAGCTGAAAGCTAAGGTGATTTCCTGGCATAAATAATTCTAGATGCTCATCAGGAATCAGAGAGAATGGTTTGAGTGATCTAAACAGTGAGGGAGAATAATAGCCTCAGGTGGTAACTCACTCTGTTACCAAGCAACTGCCAGTTAGAAGGTTGGAGAGCAGTGAGCATTGTCTTACAGCTAGCAGAGAAGAACCAAAAAATGAGACTGTGTTAAATTATGAGGCATAGGTGGCATTTAGAATCCATTCCCAGAACTCTTTGGTTGCATTTCAGGATGAGGAGGAAATCTCTACCAGCCCAGGCGTTTCTGAGTTTGTCAGTGATGCCTATGATGCCTGCAGCTTAAACCAGGAGGATTTAAGAAAAGAAATGGAGCAACTTGTACTTGATAAAAAGCAAGAGGAAACAATTGCACTAGAAGGTAACATACACACACGCACACACACACTGGCTTTGTTCTTTTTCGTAATTCCAGTCTCATTTTCAAGCCAGTAGACAGAGGCTAGGTATGTAAGTCAGTTGGTAGAATGCTTACCTAGCCTACATGAGGCCCTGAGTTCAATCCCCAGCACCATACAAAACCATGCATGATGGTGCACAACTGTAATCCCAGTATTCAGGAGGTAGAGACAGAAACATTGGAAGTTTGAGGCCACTCTTGGCCACATGAGACCCTGTCTCAGAAAAATAACAAAGCCAATGAACAAACTAGGTGTGTAGTGTACACTTCTCTAATCCCAGCACTTAGAAAGGTAAGGCAGAAGATCTGACATGAATTTGAAACCGTCCTGAGTTACATGGTTGGATTCCAGGCCAGCCAGAGCTTTATAGCAATATCCTGTCTTAAAAACAAACTCAAAATGAATTTTAGCTTTACTTTTTATACATTGGTGGGGATTGAACCCAGGACTTTGCTATGCCTCACTCATCCCCAACCCTAACTTTGTGTTGTTTGAGACAGGTTCTCCTGTAGCCCAGATTGGTTTCAGTCTCATTGTCTAGCCTGCCAGCCTTGGCTTCCAATCTCTCCACTTCCTGTGTACTGGGATTACAGGTATCCCACCATGCTGTCTCACCTTTCTTTATAAATAGCCATGTTTTTTTCTCTTATTTTTATAACACTATGCAGTAACTGCCTCATCCTCTGCATACTAGGCTCAAGGTGCTGGGTTCAGTATCAGACATGAGATAAAACTGGGCATGGTGGACACACCTGTAATCCCAACACTCAGGTGGTAGAAGCAGGAGAATTAGAAATTGTCAGTCGGGCTGGAGAGGTGGCTCAGAAGTTAAGAGCACTGACTGCTCTTCCAGAGGTCCTGAGTTCAATTCCCAGCAACCACATGGTAGCTCACTGTATATGTAATAAATAAATAAATATTTAGAAATTGTCAGTCATCCTCAGCCAGGATTGTGTTGGAGACCAGCCTGGGATACATGATACCCTGTCTCAAAGACAAGGCCAGAGAGATGGCTCAGCAGGTAACCATGCTCACTGCCAAGCCTGATGATCTGAGTTGGGTTCCTAGGACCCACATGGTAGGAAGAGAGAACCAGATCCTGGAAATTATCTTCTGACCTCCACACATACCCTTGTGACGCACCTGTGTACCTGCCCTCACATATATGCACACACACATAAAAAATTAGTCTTAAAATGAGGAAGAAATGGGGCTGGAAATATAGCTTAATAGTAGAGTGCTTGCCTAGCAATGTCCGAGGCCCTGGGTTCCCATGCCTGGTACTACAAAGAAAGAAATGAATTACAGCTGAATGAATTGTTACAAGTATTATGAATTCAAAGAACACCTTTCTTGCCTCTCCCTTTGTTTTCTGTAGAAGATTCTGCCGATTGGGAAAAGGAGCTACAACAGGAACTTCAGGAATATGAAGTAGTAGCAGAGTCGGAGAAACGAGATGAAAACTGGGATAAAGAAATTGAAAAGATGCTGCAGGAGGACAATTGACCCCAAATCAATTCTTAACTTTGTGCTGACATTAAATTTTGATGCTTGCTGAATCAGAAGGCACAAAGGAGTGTAACTTTATGCAATTTGAAATTATTCTTTTTCAACTAAAACTTGCTTCTTCTAAAGTATGTAGAACAGCTATTGTAATAATCAAAAAATAACAGGATATTATATGTAACATTTTTCATATAAATCAAATTAGCGATGTTGTTACAGGCAGCAGAGCTAGCTATGCCACAGAAACACAGGTAAAATACTAGAGTTTGTTTTTCACAAGGTTGGCAACATAATTTATTCTTTAGTCATGGTCTTCTAAGCATATATATATATACTCATTGCCTTTTTGTTGATACATGGTTAAAGTACTTACTTAATGGCATAATTGCTATCAGAATGACCAAATTATACCAAAGAACTCAAGAGAAAGCACTTTCAAAACTATTTTCTTGCCAGATATTTTCTAAAATTCTGTCTGAAAGCCAAAAGCTGAGATAATTAAGTTCACTTGAATGACATAAACATCACCTGGTTCGAGGTTAAGAAACACTGCAGGACTAGGGATGTGGTGGGCACTTACCTGTCATTCACAATGGCCCAGGTTCCAACTTCAGTCCTTTTTGTATTAATAACCTTCAAGAAGTCTGTTTACCTTAAGATTTGTTCTCATGGTAATGGTCATTATGTATAAATGTCTTAATTAAATGATTAGCCTTTATAGAATGATCTTCCTTGGAGTATAACTTCTAGAACTTGCTAATTAATCCATCTTGTATTCTGCTATGCCAGCAAGCATCTGTTCATAGAATGTGATCATTTTAAAAGAGGAAGGTGATTTAATGTTAGAAAAATAACTAGCATTCACTTTTTGTATTTTCACAGCGCCTTTATTTCATAAGGAGGAATAAAATCAAGATGTTTCTTTATAAGAAAATTGTACATATTTGTATTCTTGTACCCATGAAAACTAGTCTGTGGTCCTGTGGCATAGGTGGTAAGTAAGCATTACTCCAGTGTTCGTCGTTTGAACCAGACTGCCTCACCTCGTGTTACTTCCTTGTAGCAATAAACTTGAGTATCCAATGAGGTCATTGATCCAATATGAAAGGGTTCCCACTTGCAATGTCAAAACCTACTCTAAAGTAAAACGTGCTCATTTGCATTTAGTATGGTGTGGAGACATCCTGTAGTTCTGGCTGGCCTGGAATTCACTGTGTAGATCGGGCTGGCCTCAAACTTAAAGTGATCCTCCTACCTCTGCTTCTGCTTCTGAATGATATTTTATTAATCTGATAGAGAAAATTAATATATTGAAATGATTTTTAAGCAGCTAAGAATCCTAGATGTAAGCAAAACCAAGCATGATAATGCCTGATTCTTAGTACATGCACACATATGTATTTGGTGATCTCACTATAGAGATCAGGCTTGCCTTGAACTCACAGAGAACTGCTTATCTTTGCTTCCTGTTTGCTGGGAGTAAAAGTATACCACTATACCCAGCTTAATTATGGTTTTCTTAAAGACAGGGTCTCCTCTGGCTAGCATCGAACTCACAGAGATCTGTTTGCCTTTGCCTTCGCCTTCCAAATGCTGGGAGGAAAGATGCACCCCTATACCCAGCTTACACTAAAATTCTTACTGATGAATAAACACAAAGAAGCAAAGATTTCAGTGAAGGAAGAAAGATGAGCCTGGACATAGTGGTATACATGCCTGTAATCTCAGTACTTGGAAGGTAGAAGCAGAAAAATCAGGTCCGGGCTGACCATAACTTTATAGTGAATTCAAGGTCAGCTTTGGCTACATGACACTCTTAACTCAAAAAATTCAAAATGGAAATTCCCTTATAAAGTGGGAAATCTCATTTGTTAACTTTCAAGAAGTTGAACTTAAGCCGATGAGTTGACTCATTGGATAAAAGCGCTTGCCATGCAAGCCTGAGTCCACCAGAACCCATGGTGGAAAAAGCAAACCAACTCCCAAAAACTGTTCTCTGACCTCCACATTCTCACTGTGGTGAACATATCTATACATATACAGGCATACACACAATAATTTAAATACATACATACATACACACACACACACACACACACACACATGAGTACAGGTAGCCATGAAGGCCAGAAGAGGATATCAGATTGCCTGGAGCTAGCGTTACAAAAGGTAGTAAGCTACCTGACATGGGAACTGGAAGTTGAACTTGAGTTCTCTGCAAAATCAGTATCCCTCTCCTGCCTCAATGATAAATTTTTCAAAAAAAGTTAGGCTGGGCAGCAGTGGTACATGCTTTTAATCCCAGCACTTAGGAGACGAGAGGCAAGAGGATATGAGGTTGAGGCCAGCCTGGTCTAAGTTCCAAGACAGCCATGGATACACAGAGAAACCTTATCTTGAAAACCCAGAAAATAAAAACAAAAGTTAAACTAGGAAAGCTCATCTCCAGAGACAAAGCAACCATTGCAACTGTATGCACATTGCTTTGAGACATTATAAGCCTGTTTTCTGTGATCAGAATATTATTAGACTGGAGATATAATTCAGCAGTAGAGTTCTTGCCTAGCATTCGTGAAGCATGGATGATACTTTTTTATTATTACTGTACATACGAGTACCATGCATTTATGGGGATCAGAGAATAACTTTCAGGACGTAGTTCTCACCTTCTACCTTTATGTGGGTTCCAGGGATCAAACTACACAGCACTCACTTTTATCTAGTCAGTCATCTCACCAGACCATGAGGATTGTTTTTTAAAGAAATTTGTTTTTCAGTTTTTGCCTTACTTAGGTTTGTGTTGCTGTGAAGATACACAATGGCCACAGCAACTCTTATGAATAAAAACAATTAAGGGGACACATTTACAAATTCAGAGGTTCAGCCCATTATCAGCAAGATGGGGAGCAGGCAGACATTCTGGAGCTGAGAGTCCTACATCTTGACTCAGAGGCCAACAGGAAGTTGACTGATAGTCACACTGAGGGAGGTTTGAGCAGAAGCCCACTCCCACAATGACACTTCCTACCACAAGGCCACACCTCCCAATAGTGCCACCCCCTTTGGGGATCATTTTCTTTCAAACCACCAGTTTTTAAAAACTTACATGAGTCTGAACATGGTAGGGTATACCTTTAATTCTAGCACTTGGAGGCAGAGGCAGGTAGATCTCACAAGTTTGAAGACGGCCTGCTCTACATAGTGAGTTACAGGCCAGCCAGAACTGTTTAATGAGACTTTATCTCAAAAAAAGCTGGGTGGTAGTGACAAACAACTTTAATCCCAGCACTTGGGAGATGGGCAAGCAAATCTCTGAGTTTGATGCCAGCCTGGTTTACAGAATGAGTTCCAGAACAGGCTCCAAAGCAATACAGAGAAACCATGTCACAAAAATATATTAAAATAAAATAAAAAATAAATGTAAGCCGGGTATGGTGGCACACATCTTTAATCCCAGGATTCAGGAGACAGAAGCAAATGGATTTCTCTTGAGTTCAAAACCCTCCTGGTCTACAGTGTGAGTTCCATGACAGCCAAGGCTATAGAGAGAGACCCTGTCTCAGAAAACAAAGGAATAAGCTAGTGATAATAATAATCTAGATGCAGGTGTGCATGCTTGGTGGCTGCACAATAGAAACCACCTGGGGAGTCAGGCACTATTAGCTTCCAGGGCCTTCTGCAGAAGTACAAAAGAAACTGGCCCTATGTATAATCCTGAAGGTCTACATTTTTTATAAAACAAAGAATTGAATTTGTTGGCACATGTCTGTGGTTAATAAAATTCAAAAAATTAAAATATACAATCCACAATAAAAACACTCAAGACTTAACAAAGCAAGCTATGAAACCCCAGTTCTGAGTGGCACAAAACTAAACAATGAGGAAGACCACACATCAGGACCTAGTGGAGCTCAAGGCAATATGATCAACAGGAAAAACCTAATCCCAGCCACTTAATTGTTGGTTCTTGTAATCCAATAGTTTACTGCCATGGCCTACAAATGAAAGTGGAGCATTAAAGACCAAAAGTTGACAATGACTAAGACTGACCTTATGAAATCCACCAATAATCACATGCAGCATGTTGGAAGCTGCTGTACATTCAGAAACATGAACCAAAACTAGGATGTCACCTGCATATCTTCAGTGCTAAGCAGGTACCACCACACAATCACTCCTTATAGGTAGAGAAATATCGTGGGCTCACCTTTTTGCAATGCCACCTCTTATTTGTACACTAATGTCTTCTCAAGGACCAATTTGTTCCTAGAAATAATCTTGAGATGTTTAGGACTGGCCAAGTCAGAAAACAGCACACTTGAGAGACAACACAGTATCTCAGGAGATCTTGATTCTTTAGAGGCCATGAACCCAGAAATTGTCTGGAAATGCAGGTGTGCTGTGAGCATCTTTATGTAGGGCTAGGGCTGTGCCTGCAGGCAGCACATTTGGTGGAGATTTTTTGCTGCAGCTGAATCTACAATGGGTGAGGGGGACTAGAGCTTTGGGTGTGACTCGATTTTATCACTGGAGCTGAGTGTTTTGTATTGAAATTGGACTAGGTCTGTGGCTTTTCTTGATGGAAATGGGTCAGAGGTTGCTTCAGCTCAGTCTTTGCCAACCAGTGCCATACTACATTTTTTTTTGGTTTTTTGAGACAGGGTTTCTCTGTGTTGTTTTGGAGGCTGTCCTGGAACTCGCTTGGTAGTCCAGGCTGGTCTCAAACTCACAGAGATCCGCCTGCCCCTGCCTCCCGAGTGCTGGGATTAAAGGCGTGCGCCACCAACGCCTGGCTGCCATACTACATTTTTAAAACTCCATAAATTGGGGCTGGAGAGATGGCTCAGAGGCTAAGAGCACTGACTGCTCTTCCAGAGGTCCTGAGTTCAATTCCCAGCAACCACATGGTGGCTCACAACCATCTATAATTCAGTCTGGTGCCCTCTTCTGGCATGTAGGCAGAACACTGTATATGAAATAAATAAATAAATAAATCTTTTTAAAAAAACTCCATAAATCGCCGGGCCATGGTGGCACACGCCTTTAATCCCAGCACTCGGGAGGCAGAGACAGGTGGATCTCTGTGAGTTTGAGACCAGCCTGGTCTACAAGAGCTGGTTCCAGGACAGCCTCCAAAGCCACAGAGAAACCCTGTCTCGAAAAATAAAAAAACCTCCATAAATCATTCCTGTGGGCAACCAGGATAGAATATGGACTGAGTAAAGAGTGTGGAGTGATAAGAGACACCCTTGGACAGGATACTAGTGTCCTCTATATCAATCAAATGAATTGGTTGGGTTGCATGGTTCCTAAAGCCCATTCAACACATAAAATGCCCTATTTTAAGAGGCCTCTGAGGCAAAGGATGTAAGTCAATAGTGGGGTACTTGCCTAGCATGTGCAAGGTGCTGGGTTCAATCCCTAGAGCCACTAAAACATTGTAGAATTTTTTTCCTTCAACAATTAAATATATGTAAACAATGTCTCTTCAAATCAATCCCCAACCCTCTCCTCCTGTTCCCCTTTGTTCCCCCATGCATACCTGGTTCTATTTTCAAAGTGAGTTTGTTGGAGTTAAAGAGATGATTCAGTGGGTAAAAGCAATGAAAAGACCTGAGATCAGATCCCAGAAATCATGTTTTTAAAAATTGGGGTGGGGGCTGGATAGATGGCTCAGCCATTAAAGGCTAGGCTTACAGTCAAAAAGGTGGCAGGGACTAGAGAGAAGGCTCAACAGTTCAGAACATTTGCTGCTCTTCAGAAAACACAAGTTGGGCAGCTCATGACCACCTAGAAGTCTAGTTCTAGGCAATCCAACAGCCTCTTCTGACTTCCTCAGTCACCCACATAGGAATGACTAACACAGACATACACGATTCTGTTTTTTTTAAAGGAGAGGTCGATTTTGCAATACCATTATTAGAAAGCTATACCCAGGGCCTTGTATATGCCAGGCAAGCACTCTACTCCTAAACATAAAGCTAAGCATACGCATTTGTCTCCACTTACAAACCTCCCATACATGGCAGTAAGAGGAAAAGAGAAGGTATAAACCCAATGATAAAAACAGCCAGCTGCAGCAGCAAGATTTTCTGTGCTTCTGAAGCTTGGAAATGCTCAGGATTCTGGAGGCATATTGCTTCTGCCCTTACACTTTGACGGCTACATAATATTGGGGTAGGTCACTTGCTGACTCTGCCGTAGTCTCAAGGGGAAAGCCAAGAGTGAGTACTGTGAGACACAGAAGCTAATGGTTGAAATGGCTCCAAGGAACTGGGAATTCCAGGGAAGGAAGGTTACAAGATCTGTTATAAAATTCTTGTATAATTTGACTTCTAAAAATAACTACATGTATCATTTTGATTTTTTAAAGAATTTTTTTTATTTTTAGGCAGGATTTAACTCTTTAGCCCAGGCTTCTTTGAAATGCAATTTTCTGTGAGTGCTTTGCCTTCATGTATGTCTGCAAAACATGTGTTCCTGGTGTCCAAGAAAATCAGAAGAGGGCACTGAATTCTCTGGAACTGGAGTTACAGACAGTTGTGAGTTTCCATTTGGGTACTGGGAACCAAACCTCAGTCCTCTGTAAGAGCAGCAAGTACTCTTAACCATTGAGTCATCTCTACTTTTGACAAGGGTAGCAGTAGGAAGAAACACAAACATTAGAGGTCTGGGTGAGGTAGCAATGCCTGTAAATAACCTAGCACCTAAGTACTGTAATGGTTTGAATGAAAATGTCCCACATAGGCTCATAGGGAGTGGCTCTATTAGGAGGTATGGCCTTATTGGAGTAGGTGTGGTCCTGTTAGAGGAAGTGTGTCACTGGGAGTGGGCCCTGAGGTTTCAAATGTTCAAGCTAGGTCCATTGTCAGTCTCTCTTCTTGCTGCCTTTAGATCCTATCAGATATAGAACTCTCAGCTACTTCTCCAGCACCATGTCTGCTTGCAGGCCACCATGCTTCCCACCACAATGATAATAGACTAAAACTCTGAATTGTAAGCCATCCTCAATTAAATGTTTTCCTTTGTAAGAGTTGCTGTGGTCATTGTATCTCTTCATGGCAACAAAAACCCTAAGTAAGACAGGTAGCTAAGGTAGGAAGAAAGTCAGTTCCAAGCAACCTGCCTTACACAGTAAAACACTTTTAAAAAAAAAGTTTGGTGAAGAGGGGACTGGAGATGTCCCCCTATTGGTGCTTACATAGTAAGTGTGAAGCCCTGGGTTTGATACCCAGAATCAAACAAGGTGCCGTGGCACATGCCTATAAACCTCAAACTTAGGAGGTAGAGGCAGGAAGATCAAAAGTTCAAGGTGATCCTTGAATACATAGCAAGTTCTGTTCTAGTCTGGGCCACAGGAGAGACTGCTCAAATGTATTTTTTCCAAATTAAAAATCCCCCAACACTTGGAAGGCATAAACAGGCAGCTTTGTGAGTTTGAGGCCAGCGAGGTCTTCATAGTGAATTCAAGGACAGCCACAGCTACATAGACCCTTTCTCAAAATATTAAATCAAATTTTAAAAATCAATTAAACATATAATGGCTCAGTTGCAAACATGAGGACCTAGACTTAATACCCAGAATCCACATTTTTAAAAGCTGAGCATAAACTGGGCATGATGATGCATCCCTTTAATTCTAGCATTCAGGAGGCAGAGGCAGGCAGATCTCTAGGAGTTCAAGGTCAGCCTGGCCTACATAGTGAGTTCCAGACCAGCTAGGGTTACATAAGGCCCTGTCTCAAAAAAAGCAGTCATGATGGTACATTCTTTTAACCCCAGCATGTTGGAAATGAAGACAGGAGGATCCCTGGGGCTCGCTGGCCAGCAGTCTAGCTTACTTGCCAGCTTCAAGTACATGAGAGACCCTGTCTTGCATAACAAAGTGAATGATGCCTGGGGAATGACACCTGAGATTGAATTCTAGACTCAACATGAGTGTATACCTCCCCCTTCTGTACACACACACACACACACACACACACACACACACACACACCAAAAAAACCCACTATTGTAGATGAGGAATTAAAAAGTAAAATTGTTGAATGTCTCCAAATGCCAGTAAGGTGATATAAATGGACCAAAATGTACCAAACATTTAATGTAGCTTTTCCACTACTAGAACAAGCACCACTTCAGTTATAAGATAAACTGGAAGGTAGCCATTAGTCCTATCCCAGAATGGTGATTTGAACAACTTGTGACTCATCCATGCCATTGTATGCAAATATTTTCAGTGATGGATTCCACACCCACCATGGTCAAAAATATAAGTCTAAAAATAGAAAACGTTGCTAAGTGGGCCAATTAAGATGGCTCAGAAGATAAAGGCACCAGCCACCAATCCTGACAACCTGAATTCAGCTATCAGGTAGAAGGAGAGAACAGACTTCACAAGTTGTCTTCTGCCCTCCACAAGCACATTGTAACACAAAATACAAAAGAGTGTAGGTAATTTTTAAACGTTACTGAGTATGTGAAATGACAATGTTTCATATTCCGCTACTGATACTATAACAAAGCTTGGGGAAATTCTCTTTGGGAAAAGTCAATACTGGAAATCTTTAAATGGAAAGTTGGCTACCTCTCTTGAATCAACAGTTCCTCTCTCAGGGAATATAAAACACTATAATCACCTAAGAAAATAACTACTTAGTAATGTTAAAAACAGATTATTCTGTGGCAGGTACACTAAATGGCATGTGTAACCATTGTCACAGTAGTGGTCTTCTAATGACCACAGTCTGCACCCAAACCCAAAGTCTATCACCAGTAGAATGGAATCATAATTATACTGTGATTCTACAATGGGATGCCAAAAGTATAAACAAACAGCAGCACATAGTGATAGGAACAAGCTCCAAGAGTTTCACAAATATAATGTTAGGTAGATCCAGGCCTGGTAGAGCATGCATGTAATCCTAGGCATTAAAAATGGTGCTTGGAGTGGTGGCACATCTATGTGAGTTCAAGGCCAGCCTGGCCTACAAGTGGAGTTCTTTTTTTTTTTGGTTTTAGGACACAGGGTTTCTCTGTATTGATTTGGAAGGCTGTCGGACCAGCCCGGCCTCAAACTCATAAAGATCCGCCTGCCTCTGCCTCCCAAGTGCTGGGATTAAAGGCATGTGCTACCACCGCCCGGCCAAGTGAGTTCTAAGACAGAATTACATTGACCCTTTCTCAACACACACATACACACACACTCACACACACACAATTAAGTAGAACTTGAAAAGAAAATGGTATCTCATACACAAACTTCATAGACAGGCAAAACTAATTTATGTAGTTCGTAAACTCTAAGTGAAATAGGTACTGTGAAAAAAAGCATTCAGTATGCTGCCAGGTAGTACACAACTGTAATCCCAGCAATTTTGGAGGCATAGGCAAGAGGGTCACAAGTTCAAAGGCAGCCTAGGCTTCATAGGAGTTCAAAATCCATCAGGACAACTTAGCCAGACTGTCTAAAATTAAGAATGTTTTCTTTAGCAGTACATAAACTAAACTAAAAGTTGGAACAATACAGAGAATATTACATGGCCCCTGCACAAAGGTAACACACAAATTCGTGAAGCAGTCCATGTTTTTTTAAATGTAAGATTTTTACTTTTATTTATATGTGCATCTCTATGCAGGTTTGTGCATGTGAGTGCAGTGCCTGTGTATGCCAGAAGAGGGCACCAGGTTCCCTGGAGCAGGAGCTGCAGTCAGTGGTGAGCTGCCTGATGTTGGTTCCGGGAACTGAACTCCAGTCCTCTGCAAGGGCAACAATTGTTCTTTACCACCGCACCATCTCTCCAGCCCCTAAAAATAAATTTTTAAAAGGAGCCTGGGGCTTGCCCTGAGCTCAATTCCCAGTACTTTTTTTTCTCTTTGAGACAGGGTCTGACTACTTAGCCCTGGTAGAATTTACTATGTAGATCAGAGCTGCTTCTGCAGCCTGAGTTATGGTCTTAAAAGGGTACAGCTCTTTTAAAAATTATATAGTACCTGTTTAGAAATAAAGGGGAGCCAGGCGGTGATGGCACATGCCTTTAATCCCAGCAGTCAGGAGGCAGAGGCAGGCGGATGGATCTCTATAGTTTGAGACCAGCCTGATCTATAGAGTGAGTTCCAGGACAGCCTCCAAAGCCACAGAGGAACCCTGGCTCGAATTTTTTTTTTAAAAAGTTAAAAGGGGAGGGGAAGAGCTGTATCAGATAGAATTAGGAAATCAAGATGAGAAGTTAATAGTTACTTAAAACAAGGAAAACAATGCCTGTCAGTATTCATAACAGCTCCAGCTCAAACTTGTCTCCTGTCCCAGAAACATTTGGCCAAACTCAAAGGATCTATAGGACCTGAGGGGTTGGGAGTATTCAAAGAACTCTGGAAACAGTTGCCAGGTAGCTGCTCCTCCAGGTCCACTGAGGGTGAAGGGAAACAGACTTCAAGATGCTTGCAGTACACTTCCCAGCCAAAGGTCTGAAGTTTCATTCTTCCAAATCATATGTTAAAAGAAACCTACAGCTTTTCATTTAAAACTCAATTGCTCCTAAGGTGCCATGATTATGTAAATGGAGAGCTGAGTCATTTTGCCTTTCCCATTAAAGCTACTGCTCCAAGGTATGGCTGAGTCTGGCCTACCAGGGGAAAGCCCAATACAGAGTCTCTCTGGAAAATAATTAGAGTGTTATTTTTTTCCTTGTTGTTTTTCCAGACAGGGTTTCTCTGTGTAGCTTTGGAGGCTGTCCTGGCACTCACTCTGTACACCAGGCTGGCCTCAACTCACATACATGGCTTTAGTCCCAACACTCAGAAGGCAGAGGCATGTTCCACCACCACCACCCTACACCCGACACCCACCCCCTCCACCTGTGTGGTTGGGTTTTTTGTTTGGTTGGTTTTTCAAGACAGGGTTCCCCTGTGTAACAGCTCTGGCTGTCCTGGAACTCGCTCTATAGACCAGATTGGTTTCAAACTCACAGAGATCCACCTGCCTCTGCCCTTTTTTAGTGATGTTTTTAAAAAGACAACATCTCTACATAACCCTGGCTGCCCTGAAATTCACTATGTAAACCAAATTCATAAATCTGCCTTGCCTCTGCCTACTAAGTGCTATGATTAAAGGTCTGTGCCACCCCGGTAGTGATTTGAGATAAAGAATTTTATTGAGTGCTTAAAATGGCAGGGGTGTGGATGTAGCTCAATGGCAAAATATGTGCTAAACCTTTAGAAAGCACTGGCTTTAATCTGCAGCACCAAAATAAAATTCCAGATCTTTAATCCCAGCACTCAGGAAGCTAAAGCAGGAAGTTTGTTTCACATTTACATTTATTAATATTCTTGGGACTAGGTAAGAGCTCTGGCTACTCTTCCAGAGGACCTGGGTTCTGTTTCCAGTACCCACATGGCAGCTCACAACCACCTGTAACTCCAACTACAGGAGATCCAATGCCTGTTCTGATACCTCTTCTAACCTCTACAGGTTCCTGAATACACTCAAGAACATACACACAAAATTAAGTCTTTTTTTAGTCTGTGTGTATATATGGGTGAAGGAGTGCCATGGCACATGTAATGTCAGAATATCTTATATACATATAAAATTCAAAACAAAAACTAGAACCTCAGTTCCCCAACATGGTTAAAAAAAGCAAGCCTTGAACACCCTGACCAAGATGGTTAACAGCAATTATGCCTTTTATGAACTCCATTTTTATCTGTAGTTTCAGAAATGTCTGCACTTGCTAGGGATGTAGCTCAGTGATAGCGTCCTTGCCTGCCCAGCATGAGCAAGGACCTATGTTTAATACCTCGTACAAGGAAAAAGGAGGAGAATGGTTCAGTTAGGTATAGTGGTTCGGCCTGTAATCCCAGCACCCTGGAGACAGATACAGAAGGAATGCCACAGATTCAAGGCCAGCCTGGTCTACATAAAGAGTTCCAGGCTAGGGCTGCATGATGAAACTCCATTGCAGCACACACAGGGGAAGGGGTGGCTGGTATGATACACATGCCTTTAATCCCAGCACTCAGGAGGCAGAGGCAGGTGGACCTCTAAGAGTTTGAGGCCAGCCTGGTCTACATAGTCAGTTCCAGGTACAAGAAAACTTTGTCTCAAAAGGAAAAGAAAGAAATGCTGGGGAGGGGGGATAAAATGGCTTAGTGGGTAAAGAAGTTTGCTGACAAGCCTGAAGGTCTGCATTCAATCCATGGGATCCATATGGTGGAAGAAGAAAATTGACTTCCCAGGTTGTCTTGTCATCTGATCTTTATATGTGTGCTATGGCACACAAATGTCCCCATATAAACCAGGTGGTAGTGGCACACACCTTTAAACCTGGCACTTGTGAGGCAGAGGCAGGCAGATCTCTGTGAGTTCAAGGCCAGCCTGGTCTACAGAGCCAGTGCCAGGACAGGCTCCAAAGCTACACAGAGAAACCCTGTCTAGACAAACGAACAAAAAAGTCCCCATTTATACAAATGAACAAAATAACTTAAGTGTAATAAGAAATGTTGATGTTGATCTTTGTGTATGTCCATAATCCCACAAGCAGGGGTTCAGGCAGGAGGATCCATGCAATTTCCAGCCCATGCCTCACACACAACTAAATAATGAAAAGCTATGCCCTGAACCTAGGTGATTCAAGTACCTGAGCTAAGTGGGGTGGAGAAGTTATAACAGAGTTTATTCTTATCATTCCTAGTCTAATATCTTCCTCTTTTTCTATTTCCCAAGCGCCTAGAAAACTGAGCCTATGATGTGGAGAGTATGCTTTAAACATATAAACTCCCACAGAACTAAAAGCAAAATTTAACACAAGAGTTAAAAAGAACGAAAGAAAACAAAAGCAGAGCCTAGGAGCTAGACACTCAGGAGTTGGAGAGCTTGCTGTGCAACCATGAGGACCCAAACTTGGATCCCAGCATTCATCTACTGGCTCCAGATTCAGAAAGAGATCTGCCTCAAAGGAATAAAGCAGATGGAGATAAAAAGATACCTGATGCCGGGCGGTGGTGGCGCACACTTTTAATCCCAGCACTCGGGAGGCAGAGGCAGGCAGATCTCTGTGAGTTCGAGGCCAGGCTGGACTGACAGCCTCCAAAACAATACATAGAAACCAAAAAAAAAAAAAAGATACCTGATGTCCTCATCCAAATCTCTAAATCTCTAGAATACACATACAAACATACTGCTACTCTCCCCTTCCCCCCCTTTGCCCCTTTTCCCCACTCAGACACACACACACACACACACACACACACACACACACATTTGGGACTGGGAATAGTCTTGCTGCTCTTACAGAATTCAGTCCCCAGCACCCAAGTCTGGCAACTCACAAACAGGTGGTGGTGGCACATGCCTTTAATTCCAGCACTCAGAAGGCAGAGACAGACAGATCTCTGTGAGTTTGAGGCCAGCCTGGTTTACAGAGCCAGTTCCAGGACAGGCTCCAAAACTACAGAGCAACCCTGTTTTGTTAAAAAAATTCTAGCTCTATGTGTTCAGATACCTGGTTCCACAAACATGCATTCTCACATGCATACATACAGGATACACATTCATCCTTGGGACCCATTTGGCAGAAGGAGAGGACCAACTCCAGCAAGTCATCTTCAAACATCCACATGACTACACTCAAGTTTTTACCTTTGAGTATTAGCTCCCCCACAAGGCTTGGTTGCTGAGGCTACATGGGATGCCAGATCCTATGTCCTGTGGTAGAGAGGAAGTCTGGTGGAAAGAAACAGAAACTCTGGACATGTGAATAGTCGATGCCAGGGATACTCACATGTCCTAGACAGTTCAGTATTGTTTTTCTGATTGGTCCAGGAGAAAAAAAAGCAAAGTATTCAAAGTCCTTTTCTAAGATCATACTGTTATTGAGTGATAATTCCCTGATTTTGCATATAACCTAGCTCTGGGAAATGTGGAAGCCCGGGTCCAGAATATGAATTTTATAGAGCAGGATTTGAATCTGGGGAGTGACACTAGATAGAGCTTTTTAAGAAAGCTCTCTCTCTGTTCTCCATCTTCTCAGCTTGCTAAATATCAGATGTGGTTAGTCCCTGAGAGTCAGGACACTGGAGACAGCACTTATGAGGAATCCTTGATGGAGTGTAGAGCTTCATTTGGGCTTTATCACACCTTCCTAATAGTCCTGTCTCCATTTAACACTGACCCGTTTTCCTACCAAAGAGATGAGCTGGTCCTGAGGTAGCAGGATCTTGAGTTAGTGAAAAAGAGTGACTCAAAGCTCTTGACCAGAAGCAGGAAGACCAGCTCTCTGTCTACTGTTGACCTGAGTACCATCTGTCTGTCCACTGTTGGCCTGAGATTGTAGGAATTCTGGCACCTGCTGCTGTGTCTTTAGGTATTGCCGAAAATAGTAATATAATCCTATGAAATGGAGGCTACATGAAATGGAGCTTCTCTACAGTTGTCATACTGGCACAAGTGTGTCTTCTTGGACCCTGGAGTTCTCTATATTCCATGGAGCACTTATGGGCTGCTTAGGTAAGAAGGTGATTTTCTGGCAGCCTGATTGGCTGACAAATGAATACTGAGAGTTTAAAGTCTGAAATACCTGGGATCCAATATC